GGGCTTCCCCTCCTCTTCACCATGTAATCTGGACATTTTGGTGCTCTCTCTCTCTCTCTCACACATGGAGACCAAGAGCTGCTTCCAACGAACCTACATTTATATACTTTAACTTGCCTTACACGAGAAGCAGTCCATCATCCTCATTTTGTAATTATAGGAAACAGGAGGAATGTTAGCATATAGGCAGCCTGCTTCTGGGTTGCCTAGTAACCTATGATGTCATCATGTACCTCCCACCACATGTGTGACAGATGCACCTAGCAGATGCAATTCAGCTGCATATCAGATATAAAAGGACCAACCTGCCACCTCATTGCTCTCTCCCCTTTCTCTGTTGGGGCGGCCCCCTCTCCCCATCTTTCTCTCTCTCTCTCTCTGTCTCTTTTTCTCTTTACACACATGACCCACTCAGGCCCTAACTCCCTTCCCCTTGCCTTCTCCCAAATAAACCTCTTTCATAGACTCAAAACTGTATTAAGATGAAACTAGCTGCCTTGGAAAATGGGGAAGACAGAACAAAAGGCAGGGGCTTATGACACAGTCCCCCCAACCCCTTGTAAGTCTGAGAGCCGCCGGACATTGGCAGGCGTGGGGGAGGGGCAGGTATTGGTGGAATTCTTTCAGCATCAAGTCTCTGGCTTAGAATTATGGATGGTTAGCACTCCTGGGGTCTATAGATTTATGCCCTGAAATGACTGTATTGGTTATACACCCTCAGTGTGTCAGGCAGAGTTGCTTTGCAACCTAAATGCTCCTCACTGTGTGAGGTAGCCTGCAACCCTCATTAGCTACCACCCCACCCCCACCCGTCTTCCTCTTGAGCCAGAAAATAGCTTCTAAACTCGGGAAGGCAGAGCCTGGAGCCATGCTGACGTCACAGAACTTCCCTTCCGCTGTGTATCTTGATTACCAGCATTCTCCACACTGGCAAGATCCCTGTTTTGCATAAGCGAGGTGTTTTTGTTCTCTTTCTGATGCTGTGATCCCCCTGAAGACAAGCAGAGCAGTAGTTCTCAGTCTTCTTAGTCCCCTGACCCTGTAACAGAGTTCCCCATGTTGTGGTGATCCCCCCAACCATAAAATTATTTTTGTTGCTACTTCACAACTATGATTTTGCTACTGTTATGAATCATGATGTAAATAACTGATAGGCAGGATATCTGATATAGAACCCCTGTGAAAAGGCTGTTTTACCCCAAAGGAGTCATGACCCACAGGTTGAGAACCACTGCCTGACAACACGGAGGCCCAGTGATGCAGCCCCAGGCCAAGAACTGGAAATGCCTTGATGGGCATCCAGTCCACATTCAAAGGCTGAAGAGTCAGCTTCCCCTAGCACGGAGGTAATAAACACCATACCTGTTCAAGAAGAGGGGGCGTGCATGTATGTGAGCGTGTCCCTTTCTTTGCCTTTCCCTCCTTTCGGCCCCCAACCTATTACACAATGCTGTCCTCATTCAGGACAGTTCTTTCACACTCAGTTTGGGGATCCACATGCCAATTATCTCTGGAAATACCCTAGAAGTCTGCTCTGTAGATTTCCTAAGTATCACTCAAGGCAGCGACGTGGTTAAGCAACATCAGCCATCATACCCTAGCAAGGAAAGGCCTGCTTTAGAGTCTCTGCCTCACAACTGAAGATACCTGGGGATACGTGGCTAGTGTCTGTCTAGAGGCGGGGGTCCCTGGCAGTGTGGCTGTCTTCTCTGGAGCCCTACTGACACTGTTCAGACGCAGAATGTGGTTCCGTGTGACTCCAATGGCAACGCCTTTGGGTAATACAACGTCCACCATTCCTAGAATCCGTTTATTCACCTATTCTTTTACTTCTCTTGAGAAGCAAAGCTTCCAACTTCAAGTATTTTTTTTCCCCAAATTTTCATGTAAGAAAATTTTCAATGAGATGCTAAAGCTAGAGAGTCATGAGTTCAAGACCATCATTGGCAACATGAGACCCATACAGTAGTCTCAAAAGGGGTACCAGAAGAAAAAGATACAGAACAAAAACATGAACGCATAACTTTTCTTCTACTTATTTTTTTTTATTTTACAATTTTTCTACAAAGTCTAAACACTTAAAAAAAAACCTCAAGTACTTAATTTTAAAGTAACTGCCTCGCAAATATAAATATGTAACAAAGAAAGCCTTTTATAAAAGAGCAAGAAGGAAAGCATTGCCCAGACCATCAGATCCTAAATGTTAACTATACGGCCCAGACCAGACTAGGTGAGGATACTCTGCAATAGCAGATAACTGCCAAGTCTTTGGGCCTTGTTGTTTTATTGCTTAGGTTCTGCATATGCTGTAGTCTGGGTGATTTTGTCCCTTCAAAGTCGCTGTGCTGAAATCCGCACCGCCAAGGTTACCAGTTAAGAGGTGGAGCCTTTCGCCTCAACTCAAGCATGGTTGGGTTTTTTCAGGTGTGGTGAGCATGCCCAAGGTCCAGAACTTTTGGCCACGGCTTCCCTATGGCACTGTTGCTGCTACTGAGAAGAGTCACGTGTGCTGGACAGGGCAGAGAAGGGGCAGGAGGCGTGTGAAGAGTACTATAGTCTGTCATTTCAATGTCAAACAGAATGAACCCCACACCGCGGGTAGAGAAGGGAGGTAGAGGAAGGGAAGCAATTGCCAACTGTTCCCTGTGTGCACTGCCCCGCTGCCCCGCTATTTCTCTATTTGCTGTCTTCCTCTGAAGGCTACCACACCGTCCTTTCACAGATGGGGAAACCGAGGCCCAGAAAGGGTAAGGAACTGCACAGACAGAAAGATTTCAGATTCGGTGCTGTGATTCTATGCTATCTGCTGGGTAGAACTGGCTTTCTCGGTTGTGTCAAGAAAAAATTCAATACATTGAGCTAAGTCCACGGACAGAAGTAGGTCGATGGCTATCAAGGCCAGGGAGAGAGGTTGGAAAGAAACTTCTCAATGTGTGCAACGTTTATTTTTTGAGCAATGGATTGCTTTAGAGCCTTACAAGCCAGATCTGCACCCATTGAATTCGCTAAATACCTTAAGTTAAAAATGACTACTTTTTTTCGGGTGGTGGAGGTGGGGTTCAAGACAGGTTTTACTGTGTGTAGCCCTAAGTGTTTCGGAACTTGCTCTGTAGACCAGGCTGGCCCAGAAATCAGAGATCTGCCAGCCTCTGCCTCCCAGGGGCTGGGATTAGAGGTGTGTGCCACCACTGCCCAGCCATATATTTGTCTTTTAAAGGCAAGATCTAATGGATCTGATGACTGACAGTGCACTCCTAGTGACAGAATTACCCCCATGCACACACCAGTATCGAACTCAGGGCTTCCTGCTTAGATAATGACAACTACGACAAACTGTTGACAATTTCAACTCACTCTACAGACCCCGAACTTACGATCACAACCCCCACCCCCGAGGCAGATTCCCAAGGTCTCCGTCCAATTTTGCCCCGGTTCATATTTGCCCAGAGTCCCCCATGCCGCTGAAGCACTCTAGAAAATCAGGACGGATGCTCAGGATGTTACTAGCTTACTTTAGACTCCATTTTAGAGTGCATGCAACCCGAGAGGGGGGCGGAAGAAATCACAAAGCAAACACCCACCCCCCCGTCCCCGCGGCGCTGCCAGGCCTCGAAGAAAAGGCACTACTTCAGATGCCAGTGTCAGTGCGACGTCGCGGTCTCCGGGGCAAGGCACAGCGAAGGCCTGGACCTCCTGCACCCCGCGCTTCTCTGTAAACCTACTAAGGCGCAAGTGCGCTGGGGAACCGGCACCGCCCAGGGGACGGGGCGGGGGCGGAGCCAGAGCAGTGGGCGTGTCTCCGTCGGGGGCGTGCCCGGGGCGTGGGCGAACCGGGGCAGTGGGCGGGGCCGGTGCTAGCCCTTGAGAGGCGCTCCGCCCGCGGCGTAAACTCTCCCCTGCGCCGCGGCGGAGCAGGTGAGCCGAGGGCGGGGGCTGGGTGCGCGCGGCCCGGTGCCTGCCACCGATCGCGGGTAGCCGGCCGCGTGGAGAGCTCGGATGCGGCGGGGACCTTCTCGCGCACGTCCCCGACCGCTGCTTCCGCGGCCCCCTCGCGGCACCAGGGTCGGGACTCCAGGCTGCGGCCCCTACGGCGATCTCGGCCTCTGCGGCCGGCGCGGGGGCGAGGAAAAGGCGCCGGGGAGGCGGCCGTGTGGCTGACCCAGAACTGGGGCTTGGAAGGAGCGTAGGGAGAGGCTCTGGGCCTCTGGCTGCGTCCGGGTGCCCTCAGCTTCCCTTCCTGCCTCTGGAGCCCCATGGAAGGGTAGGCGCAGAGCGAGGTGTTAAAGGGCCAGTGCACGTGGGTCACACAGCTGTGTCGACCAGGCATTTTGCTCCCTTCTACCCAGGACCTGCCCTGGTCTACCTGAGCTCTACTACAGATGACGAGGGAGTGGGAGCGGGGCGCACGACAGGGCCTGAGGCTGGCTCAGAGGCTGGCGTTCTGTTACCAGCCGTGTTTGGGTGTTTTGTAAGTCTCGTACAGCTGCGGGGAGACGCCCAGAACCAAGCCTTTGAACGCTGAAGGAACTCGAAAGCAAGAGCTAGTTGCCACTGAATTACACTGATGAAGACACTGCGCCTAGGGCTGAGGATGTAGCTCTATGGGAGAGTGCTTTGCCAAGCATGTGCCAGGCCGGCCAGGGGAGAGAAGGGACGGTGGGGGAGAACAACTCTTACTGAAAAGTGCAGCTTCCCAAGGTCTCCTGGATAAGATACAATGGAGCCAGGCTTCGAGCTGGTGCCTGGGCCTCTGCTTCTGCTATCCAGACCCAAGTCCTTTGCCAGTTAGGTGAAATGTCCTAGCATCTCTGCTTTACTTTTGTATTCGCCTTTAAAGATATGAACGTTTGGTGAAATATCTACATCCATTTACAGATGGAGGATCAGAGAGCATCTAAAACCAGAGCAGACGCAGATCAGTTTAACTCAGAATGGACAGCCATCTCCAGAATAGTCTGTTGGGGACGGAGAGACCCCATCATCCAGAGTGTGTATGTACCCGATGTCTGTATAGTCCCTCTGTGGACATCGCGCCTCTCGGGCCTTCAGCCAAGACTTCCAGCAGTAATTAAAGGTTCTCTATAAGCTGCTTCAGGTGTGTAAGCCTCAGCTTTCCCTCTGGGTGTAGGTGGCTCTGTGGGAGCCTGAGAAAGTGTCAGGTTCCGTATTTTCAGCTGGTGAAGGGGCCAGCATCTTGACTTCAGCCCAGGGGTGGCCATCCAGATTCATTCTTTGGCTCCCAGGACAGTGGCTAGAATCAGGCTGGCAGGGATAGAGAGTGTGGGGGTGGTCGTGGCTGAGGTGCAGGATGGGAGGGAAGCTGTGCTGGGTTTGAAGAACTATGTAGATACACCCATGCCCCAGATCTAGGCTGTAGGCCTTGGTATGTGGAAATAAACATTCCTACTATCTGAGAAGGTGAAGCAGATTCGGATGAGAGATGTTGCCAGAGACTGCTGCTGGCCATCCATGGCCTGGAGCAGAGGGGTCTGGCTGTACCCTGTCCAGTGGCCCTTCTGTGAATGCCCAGGGGCCCACTGCACAGTTTTGCCATGTGCGAGTCTCTTGCCAGACTTGGCCTCTCTGGGTTGTTGGTTATGGTAACCACGTGACATACCCATGTGTTAGGAGATGGGCATTCATGATAAAAAGCCATTCTGTCCACTGGTTATCTCAGTAATCATAAAGCCTTAGTAACGGGCCGGAGAGATGGCTCAGCAGTTAAGAGCACTGGCTTCGCTCCTAGGGGACCGGCGTTCAACACGGAGGCTCACAACCATCTGTAACTCCAATTCTTGGGAACCCTCATTAGGCCTCTGTGGACACCAGGCACACATGTGCTGCCCAGATGTGTATGTGCTGAACAGACATACACGCAGACAAAATACCTATATACATAAAATACAACTGAAAGAGTGTCTTAAGAACTTAAGTAATGTGATAGCTCATGTCTGTATTTCCAGTATAAAATCACTGAGGCAAGAGGGTTGCTGTGTGCTCAAGGCAAGCCTGGCCTGTGCGGTGAGTTTCAGGCCGATTTGAGCTACATAGTGAGACACTCTCTCCACACAAAGGAACGAAACACACAACAATGTAAATCACCAAACAGAACTAAAGGAACACCAGAACAGTTATTATGACTCTGGGAACCTGAGCTCTGCCCAGCTGTGTGTGTGGCTCCGCTGCCCATCAGTGTAGGATTTAGACCTTGCTATATGTACTTCCTATACCTCTGGGGTTGTACCTGGACCACAGTCACCTCTAACCTGTGTCTGCAGGAACATTTCTGTGGGGCCTTCACTAACAACTTCCTGAGAACCTGGGAGGGAGAAAAAAATGTGTTGTGTTTTGAGATCTGTTTTGGGTTTCGCTGTGTAACTTTGGTTTGGTACTCTTTATGTAGCCAAGGCTGGTCTAAAAGTAATGGCAATCCTCCTGCCTCGGCTTCCCTCTCCCAGTGCTTTTGAGTCTAGGCAAGTGCCATCACTTCAGCATACATTTTTTTTCCCCCTAAAGAAACCAAAATGCAAGCTAGACATGCTAGCGCACAACCATTAGTCCCAGCACTTAAGAGGCAGATCTCTGAGCTCAAGGCCAAACCAAAATGCCTGTGATCTCAGCACTTGAAGGTAGAGAGGCAGAAGGATCCGGAGTTTAATGTCATCCTGATTATAGTAGTGAGTTCTCCTATTAGAAAACCAAAAGGAGAGGGAGAGGCACCACCAACACTGTATGTATGTATGTGTTGGTCACGTGGATCTTTCTAACAAAAACCTCTGTGGCTGTTTTTCAGCTGTTTCTCTGAGGCTGGGCCACTGCTCAGCTGGGACCCTGCAGACAGCAACTGTTTCTGCCACTATTCCCACCTGTTGTGGGAGCTATGGTCCCTGGGGAGCGGTGCTTAGTCGTCATGCGTGTCCTCTCCCCCTTCCCCCTCCCCCTCTCCCACTGAGGGATGAGATCACTGCCACCTGAACACTTAGGGGAAAGAATAAACCCAAGTCAATCCTCAGGAAAGATAAGGCATCTGCTAGGGAGACAGCTCTCCATAGCTGCTCCACCGATTGAGAGAACAGGTTGCTGAAGGCTTCCTACCTTCCTGTCACACCTCAGCCAGAAATCTAAAAACATGTCTTTAAAAAGACATCCCTTCACTCTTAGCTCCGGAGTAACTGCTCTGGGTACCTGCAGGTGTTTCATAAGTGGGGTCTGTTGGAAGGCCTCTGGTCATTGGAGGTGTGAGGCTGTCACCTTTTTCACTTTGTGGACCTGAGCTGACTAGGTTCCCTGTACCACAGGCCCGAAGCTGCAGACCCAGCTGACCCTGGGTTAGCATGGAAAGCTGCAGCAAAGTAAACCACTTTGTTTTTAAATGTAAGTTGTACCTCCAGTGTTTGTTTTAGTAACAGAAAGCCACCTGACACTTCTTGGAAAACAAGATTTTGTAGGTGTGGCAAGACACTGAAAATGTCTTTATTTCTTTTACCAACCCCATATCAGGACACTTTCCCACTTGTCTTCTGAACCGAACCAGAAAATCAGGAGGCTGTTTCCTTCCCTCATTGCTGTGGGTTGGCAGGTCTACCCCGAGCCTCACAGAAGAGCCTCTGAGTCTGGAGATGGAGTATATAAGATGGACTTTATTAAGGACTTTGAGTGGGCAGGGTCTGGGAGTGGGCAGGGGCCCTTTCTAGATACATCTTTTTCCATGGCAAAGACACATGCCGTCTAAATGCATGAGTATTCTCCCAAAGAGCCCAAGGGTGTGGGTTGGTTGCCTGGTATGTGTGCAGGAACCTGAAGGGCTCGATTGTACAGGGAATGATGTTCTGTGAGCAGTTTGGAGACCCATAAACTGCTGGTCCTCGTCTGTCTTTAGTTTTAGTCTTTAGTTTCCCTTCACCCCCAGCTGCCCTGAACTGTAAAATAGGGCACCAATTAATGGCTCTTGGGGGGTGTTCAACCCAGTTTTGACATCATCCTATGGACATGCAGTTCCTTTGACAAAATGTTCCCATTGTCAGGCTGAGGCTGGATGGAAACAGGATCTCCCTGGGGCCTGGCCTTTGTACTAGTTCATGCGTCTGGTGGCTTAGTAGTTCCCTAGCTTCCAAAGAAGGGCACCTGTTGGCTTCCTTAATCCCCTTCTGCCTCCATAACACCTGTCTATTGAATACCCGCTGTGGCTAGATGCTTTACCCTGTTTCCCCAACCTCACAAGGCAATGTATTCCGCTGCTCACAGAGGAGGAAAAAGCCTGTAACTGCTTGGTCAGGAGCTGCCCAGGAAGTATGGTTCATGTTACACGAATCTGTTTGACTACTGGCCTGCTGTGTTTCATTTTAAGAAAAAATATTCCGCACCCGATGGTGGTGGCACACTCCTGTAATCCCAGCACTTGGGAGGCAGAGGCGGGTGGATCTCTGTGAGGTCATCTTCAGAGATGTTCTTCCGTGAGGTCTGTTCTACAGAGCAAGTTCCAGGACAGCCAGGGCTATTATACAGCAAGACCTTGTCTCAAAAAAGAAAAGAAAAAATATTCTAGTTTTTACTTGAGGGTGGTATGCTAGGGGACCCTCCCTGTCTCTTCCCCTTAACTACCCTTCTCCTAGGCTGCTTCATGAAAGGAGGAAATTTGCCCCAATATAGGCACTTCAAGAAAGAAGTAGGTAATGGAGCTTAATCCAGAGGCTAAGCCTAGGATCAGGAGGCACCACTTGAGGATCTGGGGGCTGGGATCTGGCTCTCTAACTCCAGCTATGCCTGAGATCTCAGGAGAACCATTCAGCAAGTGCTGGGTGGACCAGCCAAATACATGGTTGGGTGCTGAGGGTTAGAGGTAGGTCTGGAAACTGGGGGATGTCACCGGGTGTTGCCTGGTTGGGGGAAGCCCGTTCCTAGTGTACAGGAAGACCGGTACTTCCCAGGAGTCATGGGAATGCTGGGAAGTAGCCATGTGACCACAGAAGCTGACCTTTTGAAAGCTAAGGACGTTGTTCTCTTGGCCCTTTGGAAAAGTGTCAGGGAATCCCAACCTTCCTGCAAACCTACATGTTTGTGGTCAGGAGTTTTTAGTTCGCTTTTGGAGGATTACTCTCCACGAGGCACTTGAATTTTCTGTGGCATTTCAAAAATCTCTTTCCTGCCAGGGCCACCGATTTCAAACATTAGGGCTAACCTTTGCTTCTCTGTACCGCCGAAAAGCTGCTTGAGGCAACTGGGTCACCTGGTTTCCATGATAATTGCAGGAACTACTGGCACCAGTGGGTTGGGGAACTTGTGTGGGTCAGATGCCCTGAGTTTGGCTAATCAGTGTTTCAATTCCAGTCAGTGAGTTAGTCAAAGTGGGCAGAGGGTACCTAATCCGTCAGCTTCCATGCCGACAGAGCTTCCAGAACTGACCCATCTGCAGCGCTCTCTTTGCTCCTCCTGGCCAGCTTCTCAGTGCTGCCTGTGGACTCTTGGGGTGTGGAGCTGGTCGGGTGGTCGCAGCACTGGTGAGGCGCCGTGCCCACCCCCACCGGTGCTGAGTCAGGCTCCCCCAGGAGCTCTTTGCCTCCCTCTGACGTGGATGTGGATGCAGCAGGGTTGTTTATCTGCGCTCATTTCGCATGGTGATTTCTCCCTCTAAGGATTTCTGTGCTCTCCGGCTGCAGAGCCCACACAGAAGCCTTGCAGACCTGCCCTCAGGGATTCTAATGGGGAGCTGAAGAGGCATCTGTTGCCATTCAGGGCTTTGGAGAAAATGTCACTGGCTTCCCGTATTTTCATCTATTTCCCCAGGCCAAGCAGGTGATTCAGGAGGGAGAGGAAACCCTGTGTGCTGATGCCTACTGTTTCCTTTCACAGCTCAGCGTGCCAGGTGTGGTGGCACAGGCTTTTAGTTCCGGAGGCAGAAGCAGAACTCTGTGAGTTTCTGGCATGCTAGGTTTACCCATCAGTTCCAGGCCAACCGGGGCTACATAGTGAGACCTTATTTCAAAAGAAAAAAAATCAGTAAGTTGAAGAATCAACCCATCATGATTATTAAGACACACACACACACACACACACACAGAGAGAGAGAGAGAGAACTCTAGAAAGCAAAAAGTGCTTGCTTAGTGTGCAAGCCCTAGGCTCTAGCCCTAGCACAGAATAAACTGGGTGTAAAAGCATGCCTGTGATCCAAGTACTTGAGAGGTAGAGGCAGGAAGATCAACATCTTTAGCTACATAGTAGATTAGAAGCTAGCCAGGGATACATGAGACCCTGTCTTAAAAAATAAATAAAACTGAGAAATACAGAAAAATGAAGAGCAAAAATCTCCCAGTCACACCAGTCTAAAGATGACGGCCTTTCCTGTTTTGTAATAGTTTACCAGTGTTTGTATGTATAATTCAAATGATTATGAGAACACTTACAGTCTATTTAATTTAACTTCTCTTAATTGTTACTAAGTGTTGTTTGCAGTAAGACTTTACCGTTCCTGTAATAGTCCCAGTCAGATGGACAGAATGGACGGATACCTGAAGTGCTGATGAATACCAAGTCCTGTATAAACTGTGTTTTGTTTTGCTTTGGTTTCTGAACATACATTTTTGCGATAGTTTAATTTATAAATTGGACACAACAGAAGATTAATAGCAGCAAACCAGCAATTAGAGAGACACACTGTAGTGAAAGCTATTTAAAACTTATGAATTGATTACTCTGGAATTTTCCATTTCATGTTTGGGACTCATTTGACCACTGATAACCATAACTACAGGAAGTAGAATTGCAGATAAGGGGAGGTGGGGCCTGAGTTCCTGTACCAGAGAGTCAGAAATTTCAGTCATTTTTAATTTTGTGATAACAAATCACTACAGCACATATTTTTGTATGAATTTTTTTTTTCTTAGATAAAATTTCAAGATGTAGCATTTCCGGATCAAAAGGTCTGTGTCTTTGCATAGCTTTGGGGTTTCCTGTTTTTGGTACTATAAATACAGTTTATCATAGATATAACCCCTCGCCCCCTACACACACACTCACTACCACCACGCCCCCTACACACACACACACACACACACACACACACACACTACCACATCTGACGCCAGGATCTTCCTCCCTCCTTCCCAGTTGTTTGGAGACTTTGCTAGTCTGAGAAGCTCTCACTCCGTTCTTCCCAGTTCTGACCAGTTCCGGTGTCTGGGACAAAGGGCTGTGCACTTTAAACCCGCATTCCCACAGTCCAGTAGTGCTGGGCGCGGGAGTGGGAAGGAGCTGGGTAAGAGGCTCCCTGATCTTTCTGAGTCGGGCCCAGCCCAGGCAGGCCATGAGTGTGTGGGGTCACCATCTGCAAAAGCATTGCCCAGACACTGGCCTGGAGTGGAGCGTAGGAGATCTGTGTTTTAAATTTACAGCTATGATGGTTACCTGTGAGTTTGACAGGATTTACAGTCACTTAGGAGGCGGGTCGCACAGTTCCTTGGGCTGTGTGAAAGGAGCAGAAGCAGCAGCACCCATTCACCCTTCTCTCCCTGACTGTCCATGGGGCGTGGCTGACTAGCTAAGCTCCTCCCACCCTGACTTCACCTCAGTGAGCTCAGTGAGGTGGGATAAAGTCCCTCTTGAGTTGCTTTGTCGGGGTTCTGACCACAACACCGAGACAGTAGCGCAGCATGGTGTTGAAGAGACCAGACACAGAGCACCCAGGCTTAAGGATTACCTTGAAGTTTATCACTTGTTTTCCTGGGGGGCGGGGGATGGAACCTGAAGCTTCAAGGATGCCAAGCTCTGCCACTGAGGCATACCCCTGATCCAGATATCTGTGAGAAGAGAATTCACAGTTGCTGGAAGGGATAGTGAGAATTCCTGGGCCCAGTGGGTATGTGTTTACGATATGACAGACAGACAGACAGGCAGGCCTCAAAAAGGACCTGAGACCTTATAGTCTTGTAGACCCCTACCTGGTTAAGAATTTCCCCAGAGCCCCTGGCAAGTTGACCCGTGCAGCTCAGTCCCCTTAAGCTGAGTTCTCTTGGGTAGACTGTTGGTTCCAAGGCCCGGCCTCCAGGGAGTAGAACCACTGCTGGGCTCTGGGCTCAGCTGAGCTTCCAGAATTCCAAGTATTGGGGCAGTAGACTGCCTTCATCTAGGCCATGCTTTGCTGTGTGCAGCCTAGATAAAGGGACTTCTCTTCTGTCCTCCTAGGGGCTACCTGGGCTGATGAAGCTCCCTTCTTCATCATCTTCCCTTTGGCCAGACACCCAGACCCTTCCTGGGGATAGTCCACCCTGCCAGGTCCCCTGATTCCACCATTGCAGTCCCTTGGTAGTATTGAGGCAAGAGCCTGTTAAGTACCTATCTTGTTACCTCTTTCCAGAATGTCCTGTCTCCTGAAGTCACAGCTCATACACCTTCCTGACCCCACCCCCTGCCCCTCTCAGTCCTCAAGACCCAAGACATCGGGCTATAAGAGCGACCTGTTGTTGCCTCTGAACTTGGATGGTGCGTGGTCCTCGTCACCTCCCTCTTGTGTCTGTGGTATTCTGCAGCTATGTTCCCATTCCCAGTGTCTGGTGGGTCCTGAGAGGCAGCTTCTGGGGGCTCTGGGCTTCTTCACTTTTTTCAAATCCTCTGAAGACAGAGGGTGCCTTTGTAGTAGGTCCAAATCAGAGACAAAAACAAAGTCAGGCCCTGTACCATCTCTGTAATGGTGGATTGAGGGTGTTATCCAGGCCACAGGCAGGAGAGCTGTCTTTGGTGTAGCAGCCGCAGGCCCTGCCTTGGTGGAGGGACCCTGTCTAGTCACTTGAAGATCATATGCTTTCCAAGAATGACTTCTCTGGAGACAAGCTTTCAGCAAAGAACAGGCCTGCACAAAGCTCAACTCCAAGGTGATGTTGCTGGTAGTGGCAGGTTCTGTCCAAAAGTGAGCACAGTCAGATCCTCTAGGAGGTTGTGCCTTGACCCAAACTATGGGGACCTGGTGCTGTACTGGGCCCGAGGGTACTGCTGTGTTGGAATACATCGAGAACCATGCAGAAGTCCTGGGGGTGGACTAAGTCCTCCCCACCCCTCAGTGGGTCCTTCCAAGGATCATGTCGACTACTGGCTGGGTGGCTTAGCTGGCTTCTGGGACTCAGCTTCCACATTTAAAGACTAAGACTCTAGTCTACATGTACCCCACACTCAGGTACCCTTAGATGGTGTCCCATTTTCAACCCACAGACACTCTGTGGGTTTCTGGATCACACTGAGCCTTTCTTGGTGACATCCTGTTTCTTCCTCTTAGTCCAGCCTGGCCAGTGTCTTAGGGTTTGTTTGTTTGTTTGTTTGTTTTGTTTTGTTTTTGCCCTTTTTCTGTGCCCCATGTCAGCTCCTCCCATCAAGAATGGCTTTCCTTCAGGCTAACCCCTCCCACCCCCAACCCCAATCAGGACACTTCCTTCTGTCCTCTGCCCTTCCCCTCGAAGTTACCAGCTAGCCAGATACTCGTCAACACCCAGCTTTCCTTGAGATAGCATGTCCTGCACACTGTTCTACTTCACCTCTGGCCTGGGTCCTCTCTAGGGATCATGGGATTTCTGCTTCTGAGGTCAAGTCCCGTCATCAGCTTCATGAAATGTCACTTGTCATGATCTTGTTGTTGTTGTTGTTCTTACAGGACAAAAGTGTTTCTTACTCAAGGCTGTAGCTCCAGAGCCAAGCACAGTTAGACTTTCCAGATGTTTATTGACTGAACAAACATGTTGACAGTTGAGAGTGACCCTGACTTTTCTGATTGGACATTTTGTTCCATGTGATAGGAGTCTGCTCAAGCCAGTCCCAAGCAGGCTGCTGCGGCCTTGTGCTGGCTTTTGGCACTCCTGTGTTGAGCACTTGTTTGATGTGTGTATATGGGAAGCTTGTTCTAGGCAAGACCTGTGCCTGGTGTTTAAGCTGCCCTGCCATCCCTGATCCCCCACTGCCTTTGCCTAGCAGGAAAGCGGAACAAGGTCCCTGTGCTCCTTTTCCAGGTGCTGCTGGAGGCAAAACGATGCTCACATTCATGGCCTCTGACAGCGAGGAAGAGGTGTGCGATGAGCGGACATCCTTGATGTCCGCTGAGAGCCAGGAGGGCCGGCCAGGACCGGGGGATGCAGACAACACTGCCCAGTGGGTAGGTTCTGACATCAGCTGTGGGCCTCAGAGCAGGACCATGAGGTTCCCGCGTCTTATTTATTAACTCCTTAACTCATTTATAGTCAGGGTATCTCTATTTCAGTGGGGCTTAACGGGGACCCAGCCCTCTCCTCATTTTTTTTTTTAATGTCCTGATTGTGAGATGAGCAGGTTGGAGCTCTCCATGGTGTCTGCCCAAGGACCTCTGGACCATTTCTTCTGTTAGGTGTTTCTTAAGAGAGAGAGAGCTGACTAGCCTGTGGATGACACCAGTGTTCTTCCACTCAGGAAGAGCAAATAAACATGAAAACCGGCCAAAGTGGTGCCCACTGGCCACCGTGCATGTGTGTCTTCTGTCTGTAAAGGCTTTGTAGTCGACTACACAATTACAGCATGCAGTGGGCTGGCTGGCACATCCCCCTTCACCTCCCACCCCTCACCTGCCTTTCAAATGCAGGCTGCTGTCTCCAGAACTGTGAGTTTGAGTGCTTGAGACAGAGCATTAAGATGGTAGGAGGAAAAGCTACTAGCAGGGCAGGATTCTGGTAGGTAGCCAGACAGAGTAACTGCAGAATGAGTTGGCCTGAGTCAGGCTTGACTTTAGCCTCACTTTGACCCCTACTGCTGTAGCCTCAGGCCAGGAGCTGGCTAGTCAGTCAGCTTGGCCATTTCAGCTTGAGGTTACCGCCTCTGAGGTTAATCTCATTCCATGCCCAGAGGGCTTTTTTTTCCTCCAGCCATCCGTAATCCTTTGACCTTAAAATCCCAACCCCTTTCTCCTTGTTCTCTTCAAGGTTAGCGTCTTCGCCCCAGTGGGTTCACAGTTCAAGGTCACCAGCCTGATCTCTGTTTCCTCATCTCCTCCCTAGCCTGTAGGAGATTCTTCCCAGACCAATGTGGCCATGCTGGTTAGGGGCCTTACTACCTGCCCTTGGGAAGGACAAGGGTCTTTGATGTACCCTTCTGTGGCCGTGCAGGCTAGCTTTAAACTTTCTTCACCACTGTCCTAAGTTTTTTACATGTCCCGAGACCTAAATGGAAGCTCACAGCTCTCGTGTCTAGAAAGCAGCATTTAGCCTCCTGGGGTCTACTTCCGAAAGCCCCTGCATGGTGTCCGTAGCTCACCGGGGGTGCCTCTGGGGCCCCGCACTGTGTGATTTCCCACAGAGGAGCCAGGACAGCGAGGAAGACTGTGAGGAGGATCCGGACCGCTACACCTGTCACGGGGTTCCTGGGCGGCCGCCAGGCCTGGAGGAAGAGCTGACCCTCAAGTATGGGGCGAAGCATGTGATCATGCTGTTTGTGCCTGTCACGCTGTGCATGGTTGTGGTGGTGGCCACCATCAAGTCCGTGCGCTTCTACACGGAGAAGAATGGACAGCTGTGAGTTGGGGTCCTGGCATCGGGAGGTTGAGGTGGCAACGATTTAAGGGGGTCATAGGCCCCCTCGGCTGCTGTGCTGGTGGCCATGGAGAGCAGTGGCAAGGACTGGGACATATCCTGACACTCTCAGTGCCTCCAGTCACGTGACTTGTCTAGACACATATCTGACTTGTGTGCCTCCATTTTCTTGCTTCATGGGTTTAATTATGGGGCTACCTGGAGATTTAACTAGGCTAATGTACATGAAATGTCACACAGTACTTGCCGAAGGCCAAGTGGGGTCTGGCTACAGGTGGCACTGGTACCGTGGCACTGAGCTCCGGGTACCAGGTGCCTGGTCCTGGCCCACTGTGTCTCAAACACCATGTGACCTGAGGTGAATCTGGGTCTCTGCTCCCTTAGATGTGAGGTGGCAGGGTTGGACCCGATGATTTACTAGCACACTTCGAGCAGATGAGGAGGACTTATCAGGCCCTTTTGCAGCTTTAATAAACACAACACAGAGAGCTGGGGGCTTCCGTAGCCCCAGCCCTCTACCCTCCCCTTCCTGGGCTCCTCACTGCTGAGTACATTCTCAGCATCTTGGCCCACAGACACTTGATGTCCAGTTTGAATTTGAATCCTTTTCTTATGTTTTAGAAGAGAGGAGGAAGGGAAGTTTGTGGCCTGTGGGGGACTCATAGTAGCAATAGATGGAAGGCTGAGAGAGGGCGGGGTTAGCATGGCTGCCGGCAGGCTGAGCTGGGAAGAGGAAGGTGCCTGGGAATTGCTTCCAGACTTGGGCAGTACCTGTGGTTGCAGTTGGGGGTAGGGGTGGGAGGGTGGGCCAGAGGGTGCAGGAGTTTTAGGTGCAGAATGTTGAGTGTATTGTAGGGATTCTGTAGGGCCGTAGAATCAATGAATATGTGTGATGAAAAAGGATATATTAGCTCAGCTTACACAGTACAGGCTAGGGAGTCCAACAAAGGCTATTTGCACGTTGAAGAGGCCGAGAACCCCGGAGCTGCTCCGGTCCACAAGGCTGGATACCTCAGTAGTCCCAACCTGTTGCTGAATGCCTGGGAGATTCCCAGACAGCCGCTGGTCTTTAGTCCACAGTGGCTGAGGTTCTGCTGTCAGCAAGGGTGGCAACAGCAGCAGCAGCAGCACCAACAGAGCAGATGCTCTCACTAGCAAGGAGTGGCAAGGGCAGGCAGGCAAAGCAGCACTGCTTCCCCCAACTTCTTCCTACCTGAGCGGACAATGGGAGGAGCTGCCCACCCCTGGGAGCTCCTGCCCAGAAATGCCCTCACGGACCCAACGTGAGACATGCCCCTTAGTCGATTCCAGAGCCACTCACATTGACAATCAAAACTACTTATCACACGGAGAAGCCGGCAGCCAGAGCTCAGGGCCTGGCGGTGGGAGAGTCAAGTGGAGGAGCGAGGGCTCAGTGAGGTGTAGTCTGTCCTTTCTGCCATGATGGTTCCGGTTATCAGGGGGATACAAGTCACCTGACCAAGAGACAGAGGCCACTCATACAGATAGCGATGTCCCACCTCCATCAGGGCCCAGCCAGTGCCAGGGTTCTAACAGTGTAGAGTTTCTAGGAGCTTCATGGTCAGCCTGGGGATTACTGAGATGGGGGTTTCCCTGGGGCAGCAGACACTGAGCCTCTTCTGGTGACCTCTTCAGCATCTACACGCCCTTCACTGAGGACACGCCTTCGGTGGGCCAGCGGCTCCTCAACTCCGTGCTGAACACCCTCATCATGATCAGCGTCATCGTGATCATGACCATCTTCCTAGTGGTACTCTACAAGTATCGCTGCTACAAGGTGAAGTCTGTGGCCCTCTGTCCCTCCCCCTCTTCCCTGTCCCCTCTACCCCACTCCTGCCATGATGTGGCTGGAGCCACTGCCATGTGGCAACTTTCTAAAACCATACCCGGGTTTTCCTTCTCTCTGCTGAACAGGTTGCCTTTTCATGCTCTCTGCCACTGTGGGACGCTGACCTGATGCTGACCTTAAAACTGCATGCCCCCCACCTCACCCACTGTCCTCTGAGCTCCTCACCACAGTATTTCTGACACTCTGCTCTGAAGTTAATTTTATTTCTTCTGAAGTTCTGTTTTAGCTTCCCTCACCCCAAGACTTTCTCTCTCTCTCGGTTTATGTTTAATCTTCCCGTCTCCGTGCAGACAGGGATGTTATCGTTCTTTCTGCTGGCGAAGGGAGCTAATTCAAGTTCAAGTATATAAATGCAGGCTTACTGGGTCCTGAAGAACGGGGCCAGAGGTTGCCATGCGGGGGCAGACAGCAAAGTGCACCTGCAGACAGGGAGAGAGAGAGAGAGAGAGAGAAGAAATGGAGAAAGGAGGAGAGAAGACACACACACAACACACACATACAGAAAGAGAAAGAGAGAGAGAAGGGAACCAAAATGTCTGGATTATATAGAAGGAGGAAGGGAAGCCCCTGCCCCTGGGACGGAAAGTTCAGGATAGAGAGAGGGTGTGCCAGCCAATCCCTGTAACAGGTGGGGACGGAGGGATGCTGGGAGAACCACCGGGAGGTGAGGTCTGCAGCCCAACATCAAGGTCTCCTGGCCCTGGGAAGCCTTTGGGTTGGATTCGGCCTCCCCATGGAATGATGAAAGAGTCGTATCTCATGTGACCCCAAAGATGTCATAACCCCACACCAAGCTCCCCAAATGGGGATTGGATTTCTGACCTTGCACATGCTAGGACCACTGAGCTGCTCCCTCAACCCTTGTGTTGGAAGGGGGGCAGGAGTCAGCTCTCTCCTTTTATCATGTGGGCTCCAGGGGTTGAATTTAGGTTGTCAGGCTTAGCAGCAAGCATCGTTATGCCCTGGGCCATCTCCCAGCCCACTTTCTATGATTTTTGTAGACAAGGTCTTGCTAAGTTGACCAGGCAATCCTCCTGCCTCAGCTTCACCAGTTAAACTGCTATCACAGACCTGTGCTAGTAGGCCTGGATGTGTCATCAACTTTTAGACACTGGTTTCAGGCTGCAGGCTTTGAAGCCTTTAAGACCAACAGGACATTGAGCTATGCATTACCTATTCAAAACGGCCACCACAGGCATAGCTGGCCCTTTGTGTTCTGGCAGCTGTGTTTATGGAGCAGGAAGAGAAGAGGGGCCCGTGGTGCAGAGAGAGAGCGCCAGCCATAGCTCGGCTGGGTGATATGGGGTTGAATGGTGGGAGGAGCTATCAGGAAATGTTCTTGAATGGAAGCTTAACTCATCAGTAGCAACTGCCCCTGTAAACGAGTCAGGGCTTCCATTCATACTAACGAGGAAGGAGGGGGAAGGTTCTGGGAAGCTGGGGGAAGGCTACCTGTTTAGACACAGAAAACATGTAGACAACAGCTGGTCATTGTGGTGCGTGCCCTTAATCCCGGCACTGGGGAGACAGAGGCAAGCAGATCTTTGTGAGTTCGAGGCCAGCCTGGTCTACAGAGCGAGTTCCAGGACAGCCAGGGCTGTACAGAGAAGCCCTGTCTCGAAACCCCACCCACCCCCCAAAAAAAAGAAAGAAAACAGGACCACAAGCTAGAAACAGCACAGGGCGTGACCTTGCTGTGCTCAGTGTGTGGCCTGTGGACAGACAGAAGTAGCTTGATCATTCACTCAGTCAGGGTCTTTGCGCAGTTCTGAGCTGACAAAGCCCAGACAATCGAGTCATAGTTGGGATAAAGAGCATGAGTAGGTTCCAGAGGCTGCCCCTTCCCTTCCTTTAAGGCTGAGTGTACAGTCCAGCATGGTCCTTCCTCTAGGTAAACTCTGCTGGAGACCCAGTGGGCTCAGAGAAGGACCAAGGAGTCCTCAGAAGTGAGATGAGGCTAGGGAGAAGCGGCACCATCTTTTCCTTGACCCCTCTGTGGTCAGCCAAGAAAGGAGGGACCCCTTTCCTGAGTTCCTTAGTGGGAATGACTTCCCTTCCGTCACACCCCTCAGGAGGCTTGCCCTGACCACTCTGTCCAGACAGCAGCCAGTGAGCCCCCTGACCCTTTGTCCGGATTGACCTTCATCCGACCTGCTATCTAGTGTCTGTTTTTGTGATGCCTTTCAGTGGGAACTTTGCAGGCTTCAGAGAGTTAGGGTGTCTGTGAAGAAAGACCGCCAGCATGCTCTTTGCACATGATAAGTGTGAAGGAGGTTGCCCAGCACAGTGGGCCCTTAGGACCCCCACCTCCTCCAGACACTTGGAGGTGACTAGGAATAACTCCCTGAGGGGTCCACCTTTCCTGTCTGAGAAGGATGGCCTGGCTCTGGTCCACGGAGAGAATGCACACGTGTGTCACCAGATTTAGCAAGAGAACCTGTGTTTCTGGCAGCCCCAGCAAGCCAGACTTGGCTGCTTGTCATGCATAAGCCAGTTTTTAAAAGCCAAATCAATAGTAAAATGGCAGAAAAGGGAGATTTAGTCAATGTGGCCACACTGGAAAGTGGGACAAAGAGACCCAGTGACCCACCCCTCAGATCCACTGACTTCCCCATCAGGTCCTAACGTGGGAGTAGGCTTTAAAGAAGGTAAGAGATCGTGATGCCTAAACGTCCTGGGGCACTCATGGTCCTGCCTGTCAGCACCCAGATTCACTACAGCCGGACACACTGTCAGAAGTATGTGAAACCCCTTCCCTGGAGGCCAGCTCTCCTGGCTAGCACCAGGCTTCATTGCTTTCCTTCTGAAAGCATGAGATTCCTAGGGAAACTCTGGTTCCTTGGGTTCCATTCCTTGGGGTCTTTTTGCTTTTCAAGATAGGACTTCTCTGTGCAGCCCTGGCTGTCTTCGGACTCACTATGTAGATCAGGCTGACCTCAAACTCAGAGATCCATTTGCCTCTGCCTCCCAAGCGTTGGGATTAAAGGTGTGGGCCACTCCCACCCCTGTGGTCCATCATTTCAAGCCTTTCGTAGCTAAAGGGAAGGACAGATGGAATTGTCTATCTCCTGGTGTCTTCATCCTGCTGGCGGTTACAGCGGTTCTCTTGTTTCCCCTGCCCAGTTCATCCACGGCTGGCTGATCATGTCCTCCCTGATGCTCCTGTTCTTGTTCACCTACATCTACCTCGGGTGAGTGCTGGTGGCTGAGCAGCCGCTCCCTGTGGCCTAGCTGCACGAGAAGGACCTGGACAGGGAAAGATGTCACTGGGTTCCTCAGAGTCAGCAGCTCCGGCCTCCAGGCTCTGACACAGAAGTGGGCTCGTGGTTGGTCACAGCTTTCTTTCTGGTTCCTGATTTAAAATGAGCAAAGGAAGTTGGCCTGGCAGAGCCTCCTCAGAACACACTCAGAAGGTGGAAAGCACGCAAAGTTACATTCTATTTGGGGGTTGTGTGGCTAAGCCTGGTGCATCTGCCCTCTCGCCCTTGGATTTTGGATATCAGCCTGACCCAGAGGCTCATGGAGAAATACTCTTTTAGAGGACCCATATTCGCACAGGGCTTTCCGGCGGGGGGCATCACATGGATATGTGACCCGTGTCCCAGCTATTGGTTCACTCCCCACCACATTCCCGAAATACTGAGTGGTTAATTGTGGGGCCCATGGAAATGGAGGATGGGAAGGTTGTAAATCGAACCCAGATTGGGACCTAATGGCTGAGGAGTGGAGGGTGTCGGACGATTTAGGGTATGGCACACCCGACCCCACCCCACCCCCAGTGTCCCACGCCCTGCTGCACCTTGGGCCTGCAGGGAAGTGCTCAAGACCTACAACGTGGCCATGGACTATCCCACACTCTTCCTGGCCATCTGGAACTTCGGGGCAGTGGGCATGGTGTGCATCCACTGGAAGGGGCCGCTGCTGCTGCAGCAGGCCTACCTCATCGTCATCAGCGCGCTCATGGCCCTGGTGTTCATCAAGTACCTGCCGGAGTGGTCTGCCTGGGTCATCTTGGGGGCCATCTCTGTGTACGGTAGGTAGCTCGGCGCCTGGGTGAATCACGGGCGGAGCGGTGTCGTCATTACTCTGGCATTGCTGTGACCAAAATAACCGACAGAAACAATGCAAGGGAGGAAAGGTTCATTTTAGCTCATCGTTTCAGGCAGTGACGGTCCATCAGAGGAGGGAAGGCAAGGGGCGTGGCCCAGTACCAGCAAGCGATAGAGGCTCCTTGCAGCAGATCAGGAACCAGAGAGCTTACTGGAGCTGGGTGCTGGGTCTAACCTTCGAAAGGCCACCCCTAGTGATCTGCGTCCCTTAGCCAGCCCCCCACCTTCTAAAGACACTAAAACAGTGTCACCAGCTAGGGATTAAGCATTCAAAGCATGGGTCTCTGGGGGACATTTCACATCAGATTATAACAGGTGGGAAGGCACGCAGGACAGTCCCCTCCTGTCTGCTTTTACTCCAGCCAGTGCAAACTCTAGGTTGGTGGGCTTGGGACACCAGTCCAGCTGCAAGGTGTGGCCTGGCGCTCATGTAGGTTCCTGGTGATGGAGGGTGGCTCCTTGCTGCATTGCTTGGGAATCAAGGTCCCCTTTAATATGACAAGGATGTCTCTCTTTTCCCAGATCTTGTGGCTGTGCTGTGCCCCAAAGGGCCACTGAGAATGCTGGTGGAAACTGCCCAGGAGAGAAATGAGCCCATATTTCCTGCCCTGATATACTCATGTGAGTAGTCCCATTCCTCTGCCAGATGGTGGGCCTTTGGTGGAGCCATGAATGCTGGCTGTGGTTTTGAGAATTGGCAGGTTATGTGTTCTATCTTAACCAAAGATGAGGATCCAATCATGATAACGCTTATGAGGGTCACCATGTCTGTGCCCACACTTCTGAGGGTTACACTTCTGATGACCTTGGTGGGCTGGATCTTGACCGAGGAAGAAGGTTGAGAAATCAGGGTTAGAAGCAGGGTACACAGGCTGTGGACAATCCTGTAGCCATATTCTTTTAAAAAAAATAATTTATTCTGTTTTATGTGCATTAGTGTGAAGGTGTCAGATCCTTTGGAACTGGTGTTACAGATAGTTGTGAGCTGCCATGTGGGTGCTAGGAATTGAACTCGGGTCCTTTGGAAAAGCAGACAGTGCTCTTAACCACTGGGCCATCTCTCTAGCCCCCTATGGCCATATTCTGTCCACCATCTTGGAGCCCGCACATCCCTTGACCCTACCCCCTTTAGAACCTTGCAACCAGCTCTCAACCCTGCAGGGTTTGGAGAGCCGGGTTCCCGCTTATCTCTGGGTCTCATGGACAGCGACTTAACGGTGGAAGTTGGTTATCCCTGAAAGGAAGGCACAGGAATTGCCCCTGGCCTTGGGGTTGTGTCAGAGGGCTATGGGTTTATATATATATTTAACAGATGTCAACTTTAAATTGAGTCTCTGCTTACTGGTAGGCCCTGGGAGTGACCTGGAGGTCATGTAAGTCGTTTGCTCCCTGTGGTGGCAGAGGTCACTCTCTTTGACATTGTGTCTGTCTAAGTTTAGAGTCTGTGATTCTGGGGTGCTGGTACCTCCGGGACCCAAGAAACCATCTGCAGATCTGCGTAATGATGAATAAGGAATCAAGCTTAGATTGTCCTCTGGCTTGAAAGTACATCCCAGGGATGTTCTAAGGATGAGGGACAGATGGCTCTGGTCAGTCTGAGTGCCCAAGGCCAGACATTTCCCTATGTGCAAAGGAGATTTGTGTCCATGGGAATTCATTTTTGGAGGTAAACTAAGGCAGGAGGGCAAGGGGCCAAGGACTTTAGGGCCATGGGGGAGGCTGTTTTGCAAAAGATGGCCAGGAGCCCTCCTTCATAGGTCACACTTGACCAGAGACCTGATTTAGGTAGGGGTTAGCATGGGGTAGAAATCTGGAGGCCAGAATTTGGGGAAGGGGGAAGAGCAGCAAGTGCAAAGACCCTGAGGTAGGCCTGGGCTTGGTGTGTTCAGGGAGCACCCAGAGTCCAGTGCTGCCAGAGCAGGTAGGAGGAGAGAGAGGTAGGGAGGGGAAGGCCTGACAGTGTGAGCCCTGCAGATGGCAGTGGGCCACGCTAGCCCTTCTTCCTGAAAGAGAGGTAAGCTCCTGAAAGATCCCACGACCTGCTAAGTGTGTGGTGAATACAGGGGCCTGAATTAGGGAGGCGGGGGTCCCAGTTTCAATCCTGTGAGAGGAAAAGAGCTGGTATTTGTGCCACAGATCTGAATACACAGAGTGCCACTGAGCTGCAGGTGTTGCACTTTGGACACATGCATACACACGCGTATGCATGTGTGTCCACGTGAGCACGTGAACATGTGTACCCGGCATGCACACAAGCCAGAAGGAATCGATCAGCTCCCTCACATAGAATCAGGGGCGTTTACAAGAGCACGAGCTTGTTAATGGTGCTGGAGTGGGAGCTCTGCTTCTCAGGGTTGTGCAGCAGGTGCTAACCACTGAACCAGCCCTTCAGCCTCAGGACTGAAAAGTTGTCCTCATTTTACATATATGTGTCTGGTCGGCAACGGCTGTCTGCGCGTGACGTGCATGCAGTGCCCGTGGAGGCCAGAAGAGGGCATTAGATCCCCTGGAGCTGGCGTCACAGCCGCTTGTGAGCTGTCATGTGGGTGCTGGGAAGTGAACCAGGACCTCTGCTAGAGCACTATGTTTTAACCACTGAGCCCTCTCTCTAGGCCCTCATGATTACATTTTTATGTTGCATTAAAAAAAAAAAGACAACTGAGGTTCTTGCTGCAGTGGTAAGAATCATGGCAGACAGGCTTTTAGAAGGTCTCTTCTGCTGTTTGACAGAGCCTTGGATGAAGGAGGGAAGCTAAAACTGTAACCAAAGGTCACACATGCATTCAGAAAACTCTCAAGAGAGAGTCTCGAGAGCCACAGTAGCAGCTGTAGGATCGGGCTCCAAGGACAGGGTGGAGGGGTTCAGCGGAGGCACGACATAGTTCTAAACCACGAGGGAGGGTTGGTTCTTGCTTAGAGACGGTGACGGCCTTGGAAAGTATGGGGACTGAAATCACGGTTGAGCTGGCGCCACAGGAAGCTGCCTATTTCACTGACGTTCTGAGCGATTCCCTCGCGTGAAGAATTTCCACGCCTCCCTTCTTGTAATAAGCTGAAACCCCCAAAATGAAACCAAAGACGATTTTTAAAGAGACACACTTCACCAAGCTGTTACTTGAGAGGAGGGCAAAAAAAGACAAAAGGTAGAATGTCAGTCCCCACCCAGCCAGTGACCTTGAACTCCTGCTCCCCGCAGCTTCTGTCAGCCAAGCAGGAGCCATCCCTGAAGGATGGGGGGGGGCGGGCTGCACAGGCTTCCTGGGGACAAGCCTGGCTCCAAGTCAGGAGCAGCTACTGTGAGCACAACCTGAGGCGTGTGTGCCCCTTTGCTCTTTCTGTAGCTGCCATGGTGTGGACCGTGGGCATGGCAAAGCTAGACCCCTCCTCCCAAGGAGCGCTGCAGCTCCTCTATGACCCAGAGATGGGTGAGTATAGGGGTTCACAGCCTTGACGCAGGGGAGCCCCTCATCTGCACCCGGGGTGGCCGGCCCCTCTATGAGTTAAGGCTCAGAATGGCGGGGTCACATTACCTGATAGCCAGACTTTGACACCTGTCTTAGGGATTAAGTGAGGGTTGGAATGTCCATCCCGTGCCTCAGTTTCCCACCTCAATTTTGCTGGATGTTGGTGGGGGTTGGTGGGGGCGAGCCTTGCTGTGTGAGGGTACTGGCGAACCTTCCAGATTTGTACCTTCTGACCAGCCTTTGTCTCTCCCTGCCACTCTTCACCGTGTGTGATGGCGGTGGTCCTTTGTTCCTGGATGCTCAGAGGAAGACTCCTATGACAGTTTTGGGGAGCCCTCCTACCCTGAAGCCTTTGAAGCCCCCCTGCCTGGCTACCCAGGGGAAGAGCCGGAAGAAGAGGAGGAAAGTAAGGTGCCCGAGCTCAGATGGCCTGTTTCACGAGGCAGCAGGGCCTCCACAGGTCTCCTGTCGCTGTGTCATCCATGTTCTGGGGGGTTGGGGGGGTGGAGTGGGATGGCACTAAGTTTATTTAAAAATACCCGTAGTCTGATCCCATGCTAAACTTCACAGCGGCCTGCGGCCCCAGCAGTAAGCAACTGTCCCTTTCTCTTCTAACCAAGTGGCTCGCCTAAATTCTCGGCTTCTGCCTAGGCTGTCGGTCAGCTCCCTCCTTGGTCCTGTCCCTGTACCCCCAATCTTTTCCTAGGCAGTCTGTCTAGTCCTAGTCCTAGTCTTCGGTACTGCTGCTGAGGATACCGTCATCTTGTTCCTTGACCCTTTTACTGGGTCCCGTGGCTGGCTGATGTCCTGCCAGCCCTTCACTCCTCCTCCTCCTCCTCCTCCTCCTCCTCCTCCTCCTCCTCCTCCTCTTCCTCCTCGTCTTCCTCTTCTTCTTCCTCCTCTTCTTTTTCTTCTTCCTCTTCTTTTTCTCCTTCTTCCTCTTCTTCCTTCTTCCTGCTGAAGTGTCCTATGAGTAGGATTGGACAGGGGCCACTTTCTTTTCTCCTTATAGGGGGCGTGAAGCTCGGCCTGGGAGACTTCATCTTCTACAGTGTCCTGGTGGGCAAGGCAGCAGCCGCTGGCAATGGAGACTGGAACACCACCCTGGCTTGCTTTATCGCCATCCTCATTGTGAGTGGGCTGCATGGTGGAGGTGGGGGGGTCACATCTTCTGGGGTGCTCACAGTTGCTGTCTTTCCTTTCAGGGGCAAAGGCAGAGAGGGGAGGGGTGCTCAGCTCAGACTGTGGTCTAAGGAAGGTATGCTCCTTCCTTAGAGAGAGCACCCAGGGAGCGGACAGGAGGCTTTGATCTCACTGTACCTTAGTGCTAGGGCCTGGACAAAAGCTTCTGGGCCTTGTCCCTTAGTTCCTGGGATCGTGTGAGATTTATGGGAGACAAAATAGCTAAAGGCTTTTACTGTGGGTACAGCCAGGGAGGAGTGTGGGAGGACACCCCTCCCATTCCACAGCTGCACGTTCTTTGTGCTCCTGGGACCCCCATCGAATGCTGAATCCTGGGTTCTCCAACCCCGCAGTCTGGAGGCTCTGATGGCCAGGACTCAAACTAGGGGACATATCCGATGATGTCATCTTGGAGGAGGCTTCCTTTTAGATGTTAGAGTCCTGAGAAGGCTGTAACCCTCGTGCTGCCCTTGGGTGGGAAGCCTGGTGCTCTGCCCAGTGTCTGCAAGAGCTGTTTCTGCCCACGCATGTGTCAGGGATGGGACAACAGAACCTCTCCCTCCCCCTTCTTCCCCTACCATCTGTCTGACTGGGAACCTGTTGTCCCAAGGGCAGGGCAGGACCCCAAGGGTGGAGGTGGGAAGGGGTGCATTAAATGGCCTCTGTGGTTTCCTTGGTGTCCGCTGCTGAGCACCTCAGAGGATTCTATTTTAGCTCCTCCGAGTCTCCCATAAATGCATGTTCCCTGGAGAGAGACTCCCACCATTCTATGTGACTGCTTTTCCTAGGTGGGGAAGCCACATGGCCTGTGCAGAGCTGTGACCAGCCCTTGGCTAGTGTCCTGACCAAGGGGTGTCTATGGGAGAGAACCCTGCCCCGTGCACCTTGAGGGACTATTGCCCGTCTAGGAAAGGCAGCTGCCTGGCTGCGGCACTTCAGGGTAGTTCCAGGGCTGCGCCACCTGCCATGGTAGTCACCGATTTCCCTCATCTCGCTGTCCTGCAGGGTTTGTGCCTGACCCTGCTGCTGCTCGCCGTGTTCAAGAAGGCCCTGCCCGCCCTCCCCATCTCCATCACCTTCGGCCTCATCTTTTACTTCTCCACAGACAACCTGGTGCGTCCTTTCATGGACACGTTGGCCTCCCACCAGCTCTACATCTGACGGGAGACAGGGTGTGGCTCTCAGAGCCGTAGGAGCCTTCTCTGGATGCAAGTGACTAGTTTTACACTCTAGTGCCATTTTTTTTTTTTTAAACAAACTTTTTTTTTTCCTTAAAAAAAAAAAAAAAGAATAAAAAAGTGTTGTGTTTACTTCGCGATGAGGAAGCAGAAACTGCTGTTTGGTGCTAGTTGTCCTGTCACCAGACTGTGGCTTTCCTGCCGCTCCACCTACCTGTGGCACCGGTGGGATGCCCAGCAAGCGTATCTTCAGGGATGGGGTCATGCGTGTGGATCAGGCTGTGGAGGACGCAGGCCCCGTCCGGGTCTGTAATCCTCCAGGGCTGAGTAGAAGGAACATGTGCATCTGTGGGGTCAGGAAGGATGCTCAGCACCATCACCCAACCAGAGGAGCAAAGCCAGTTTGCAGCCGTGAATGTTCCCAGTGCTTTGTTCGTGGAGTCTCTGTTACTTTAGAACCTTTAGAAGCTGAGTCCTGTTCTTACTACTGCAGTGACTGCTGGGAAGTGGCTTAATATTAATACCAATAAATAGATGCTCCTGTTGGAATGTTGGTCTTTGGTCCCTTTGTTGACATTGGCCCCCATCCCTGCATCCTGGGGTTCTCCAGAGGTGATGTGCACTGGGTACTGGGGAGAGACCTAACCCATCATGAAGAAGAGAGGCTTAAGCCTTGCCTCTCTGCACTCAGTTCTTTAAGTAGAAAGTGTCATCACAGGGCATTGAGAAGTATTGGGACAAAAGCCTGCAGAATCTCTACAGATTCCCTGGCCTTGGCCTTGGTAGGGAGGGTGTGGTGTCAGAAACACTGCAAGGGAGTTGCTAAAATGCCGAGTGGTTCCTTTGACAGATGTCTGTCCTTAGTAGGAGCCAGCAAACCAAGAGACCAGGGCACAAGCTGAGTTCAGAGAGTTGCTCTCAGTTCCTGCCAGTGGTGAAAGGCAGGCCAGCTTTTCCCTTCACGCTGCGTCAGACTGGCACAGGTTGCCAAGTCTCCGAAGTGCCTCTGGATGTGGACATGAGGCCACAGAAGCTGCAGAGCAGGCTCCTGTCCTGCTGGGGCTGCTGAGAAAATCTAGGCATGTGCTAGCTCTGTCTCTCAGCTCCAGAAGAGGCTGCGGGTGCAGAGGTGAATCCTGGTGGTGAGAGCTCCCAGGGGCTGGAGGAGAGAAACTAATGAGCCCATTATATTTGTCAATCATGGAAATGTTCATCTTCCGAAGAGCAGTTCTGGGGTGAAGCATCTAAGGAGAAGACTAGGTAAATGTTTTGGTCTCAGCAGCTTGAGGAGATGTTACGAAAGAGCTAGACAGGGGATGCTGGAGGCGGAGGCCACAGAGAAAAAAGTGGAAATACGGGTGTGCCCCCACCACCACTTAAACAATGACACCAAGGGAATGAGACGCGGTTGGTCCCGGAGGGACCCAATGGCTCCTGACTGAGACAAGTGTTAGGACTGGGAAAACACGCCTGTGAAGAAAGTGAAGTGGGAGAATCATGGGAGAGAAAGGAAAGATCCTAGAGTAGATTCGCCCTGATACCCTCACAGCAGGAAGAACCAGAAATTGGCATGGAAAAGACGGAAAGCGCTGGCACTTAAGATGGAGTCAAACATCCTGGAAAGGACAATGGGCAGGTCTGCAAACCCCGCTGAGCCAGTCAGCTAATGGCTTCCTGTTTGTCTCAGAAGTAAGTGAATTTTTAAAATGATACATCAATCCTGTTGCCTCTGTCTCCATCCTCAGGTCAGTTTGTTCTTTTTTATTTAATTCTTTGACAAGCTCATGCATCATATACTTTGAGCATATTTTCCCCCCAATCCTCATATCCCTTCCCCCCTCCCACGAGAACCGTCTTTGCACTAAGTCCCCTGCTACATTCATCTCTTTTTTTCTGCTCTTTGTGGCCTGGTGCATTCAATTAGGGCTCCTCATGAGCATGGGTGAGGGGTTATTTACCTGAGCACAGGCAGATCACCAGAGGATACAGGACTAAGGACCATGACCCTCCTCAGAAACCATGAGCTGCCTGTAGCTCCTCGGGGGGGGGGGGGGGGGGGGGGGCTGCCCAGCCTTCCCTCATCCAGGATAGACTCTTGATAAGCCTGAAGTCAATTCATACTCCAGCTGGTTTTATTTCGGATGATGGCTTGTTTTTGTTACTTTAGAGAAATGCAATCTGTTATAATATATAATTACATCACGCAACATATCTGGTATAAGGGAGCTTATTTGGGGAAGGGAAAGGGGAAAGGAGTTAAGGCCTCCAGGAGGAGAGGTGGGGGCAGATGACTGGACATGTAGACAGGCAGACAGACAGACAGGGACATAGCCATGAGGGCAGAGAAGGACAGAGGGAAAGCTGGAACACACACACAGATCAGAAAGATCTGGAGTGGTGGGCGGGTCCTTTTATCCAGCACACACCTAGTGGTGGCAGACGGGAGACCCTGAAGGTAGGCCAGTGGGATCGCCTATAAGCTGACAGTATCATTCTGTAGTGAGTGTGTGTGTGTGTGTGTGTGTGTGTGTGTGTATCATGACACATCTGAAAGTTGAAGGACAATATGTGGGGATATGTTCCTTTCACTCTATGGTCCCAGGGATTGAAATCAGACCACCGGGCTTTGTGGCAACTGTCTTTACATACCGGGTCATCTCGCTTGTCCTACCTATGTTCTCTTGTCCACCTCGAACATCTTGTGGGCTGCGGGTGGCCCTCCTACCCTCCCTGAGGGGGCTTTTGCCGTGCCAAATTAGTTTTAAAATGTGTTTTTAATGTAAAAATTAATGTAAAAAATTAGTTTTTAATGTGTTTTAATTAGTTTTTTTTTTAATGTATCTTTTACCTTTGTGGTTTATGTGCCTTTGAATCTTATGAAATCTTTTTACACCATCAAGGTTTTTCTAAAAGCTAATGTTTTAATTTTGTTGATGAGATTTTTAATTCGTGTGAGGTTTTTGTGATTGTACTTAGGAGCAAGTTAATTGGGGTGTTCTGTGTCCAGTTGTGCATATATTGGAGACCTCTCCTAACATATGTCAAGTTTCCATAAGCAGGTAGTGGACTTCTGGAGTCTATGCTCTGTTCCACGGCCTTGGCTTCCCCAGACCAGGCCTGCCGGGTGAATGGAGCCGCAGGGCGGTGGGGGAGAGAAGATCCAGCTCCTGAGAGCCCCTGGCCACAGGACCTTGAGCAGAGGATGGTCGATCTAGAACTGTGCCCAGTTTCTCAAAAAGATGACAAGTGTCTCAGTTGCGCAGCGTGGGACACAGGTGCCAGCACATGAGTCTACCTCATGAGAGGGTGACCTGGCGTGGAGCTCCACACGGCGAGAACATGACTCGTTCCCAGTCCACACTCTCCTCCGTGACCCCACCATGGGTGGGAAGGTGTCGGGTGAGCCTGCAAGCTCACCCTTCACTTCCGTTCCTCTTCCTGCCCTGTGCCTTCTAACCATCTCTATTCCCCTATAAAAGAAAGGGCCTTTTCCACACTGGCACTTACTGTCACAGGCACCGTGTGTAAGACCCTTTCCTGCCTGGAAGCTATCCTTTCGGATAAGACTCAAAACCTTTCTAAGTCCATTCCTGTTTTTATTTAGAAATTACCCCTCCCTCCTCTTTCCTTGACCGTTTTTCTACTTTTTCTCTAAATGTGGTTTTGGGTGGTTCTGTTTTTTATTTCTCTTCTCTGTTGACGGTCACCCTGTGTGATTCTATCCACTCACATGACTTCCTTCTGCTCTTGCCTCCCCCAGTTTCTAGTCTTCCTCACTGGTAGAACCCTCATGTGACCAGAGTTTATGTCACTCACTGCCTCAACCCCTGATGACTGTGAAAATCCCGCTCAGCCCTGGCCATTGAGGGCTAAGCTGAAGCCTGGTGGGGGACCCCCCTCTGGAAGCTGTTTTCTTGATTCTAAAAAGGGGCACACTCAGGGGTAATTTGCCCTCTGCCTCCTTATTTTCTCCTTTGTGAGACACAGATGTGATGTTGTGAGATGTCACAGTGTGACCATGAAGACAAGTGCCACTGGCAAAGTGGACATAGCAGAGGAGGGAATTTCAAGGAGGCTGGGGGCTTAGTGACCTCCTCAGGAAGCCACCCCAGCTTGCTACAGCCTTGTTACACTGTAAAAACAAAACAAAACAGAAAACAACAACCTTTGTCTGACTAAGCCATTGTAGTGTTTCTAGGACATAAAGTCAAATGCAACCTTATCTAATCTCCAAGTGTGTTTTCATGTCAGACGCCTCTGCTCACCCTATCACTCCTCTACCTCCATCTTTCCACCTCCCTCCTCCCCCTTCCACCAACACCCCAGACATGCTCCCCTGACGTTCACCACCCCAAGTGCTTGTCCTAGCAGCTTGCCCACAATCTTCTTAGCAAGAAGCTTTAGTTTAATTTTATTTAGTTTTATATTTTTTAAAGACGTGATAAGAAGCATCAGTTTGGGCACACAGCAGAGAAATAAAGGAAAGATCCATGACCATGTGTTGGGCAGGATTTCGATGAACATGAACTTTGTCTCCTAAATGAGGAACTTTCCAAGCATCCCAGCACAAAAGGGCGCCACAGACATGCGTTTCCCCTGAGGGTTTGTTCCCAGCATCCCCCCTCCTGGTAGCAGATCCTGCCTTTATTTTGTTAGAAGGTTTAGATGACCTCTTGGCAACAGCTTATCATACCCTGGTAGATTGCCATTCTGTCTATAATCCCAACAACCTTTTAAGAAAAATGAGTCCTGTTTGCTTTTTTTTGACACAGGGTCTGGTCAGGCAGTGGGAACTGAATGGCTCTGTGGAATGGTGCTTAGAGAAGAACCTGGCGTACTCTTTAGTTTCACGTCATCGGAAAGAAGTGAGCCTTGCTTGAAAACAATGTCCCCGTGACATCTGTCTGTAGGGCACTTTCTAATTAGTGATACATGGGAGAGGGCGGTCCACTTTTGGTGGTCCTGTCCTGGGCTGGCGGGCCTAGGTTGTATAAGAAAGCAGGCTAAGCAAGCCAGTTAGCACCACCCATGGCTTCTGCATCAGCTCCTGCCTCCAAGTTCCCGCCCTGCCCTCCCTCAGTGATGGACCACCTTGTAGAAGTGTGGGCCAGATGAAGCCTTTGCTCCCCAAGTTGCTTTGGTCATGGTGTTTCATTACAGCAACAGTAACCCTAACCAGCATCCTTTCCTAACCTTGGGTTAAAGCATCCAACCTGCGGTGGTGAGAACGAAAAGGGGGCTTGTGGGAGTTCTTGTGCAGCCATGGTGCTCAGCCCTCCCCCCACCCCCAGTCTTCAGAAGATGCTCTTATTTACTTCCTGATTTCTCTCCTGAGATCCCCTCTCATGGTAGGTGTCTCAGCTTGCTTCTCTTCTCACATAGCTGTTCTCTTGTTCTGCCCCTCCCTGTAGAATTTATCATTCAGCTCTCTGAAGTTTTGGTTTTTGACAGTCCTATTTAAAGATCCCTCCTCCTCAAAAATTTTAATCATCCCCCTTTTACCCAGATGTTGTTTTCAATGAAGGCACTGTCTAACATCTTCTCAAACT